CCGAACCCGGAATCGAACCCACGACCCGCGCCGCTGGTGAACGTACCGTGCGCTTTAGCTTCGTCCAACGCGCTGCCGGAGTTGGAAGCAAACGCTCGTAGTGTCCGACAGAGGGCGCGTTGGGCTCGCAGCGCAGGTGGCAACACCGAGGCGAGCAGGGGTTCTTCCTCATAAGCTGCGCGACGTCGCCGCGACCGCGCACGCTGCTCATGAGGAAGAACCCCTCTGTGGTTCGAAACTAGTAGAGCTTTTCTCAGTATATTCACGTGAGTAACCCGCAGTTTTTAGTTAATTTAGTATGTATCACGATAGTTATTATAAAAACAAAGTTTGCCTTGTGTTGGCCATGTGAGTAAGGTAAAGTAAGGTTACTGAATACAAAGGCTTGCAACTGTAATGATCCTTTAAAATATATTCCTTCAAATTAAGTGTAGGAGAGTCATACTTAGGTACGAATGGGCTGGCGTGACCGGAGTGATACAACGGCCGAGCAGAAAACCGACGTAAAATAACGTTCATCGTGTGAGGTTACCGAAGACCCAATTACTACCCACTGGTGAAAACCGCTTCAAAAGTCAGTTCAGGAGTTTTTGAGTTAACGACGAACATAAACAGGCATAGTTACATCGCCTAACTTTGTTTATCTTTATACGACTGTCAAATTCCACAGATCTCACATAATTATGTTTCGTTTGTGTAAACTAATGCTATTGTTGTTTATTTAACTATAACCCAGTTTGCGTAGACACGGATTGACTTAACCTTGACCAGAATGACATGACCATATAGATGTGTCAATATTTGTTATGTATGTGTACCTTAGTAGAATATGACGGCTTCATTTTTACCCAATTTGGAAGTCTCGTATTCCATTTAAACTGTCAAACACCAAGCGGTCACCGGTGACCGCAATCTATTGTTCTTTAATTGTGTCTACAAAACCGGTACTCGACGAGTTAATAGAGTTCCATTTAAAGACCAAAAATAACACCTGGCAGCATTACATTTAGGAGGAATTTCCGCAGTTGATCTTTCTATTAGTAGATACCTACGACTCAGTTAAATATAACATAGAGTTTGAAATCGTACTCGTTTTGATCTCTGATGCAATGAAAATAATACAGTAGATACTTACTGTTTGAACTACTACATCTATGGCTTCTACTCCATTATCAGTATAGGTATCGTTAAGATATTTGTCTTACTAATAACTTCTTTTCTATTTCCAGATCACCGCCTGTACTGAGAACTTCAAGAAAACTGTCATCTCATTCCTTTGAGAAGATGTAGTGTTTCAACATATCTATCTAAAGAACTATTTCATCCATCCATCCATCATCGAAAACCATGACAAGAAACAGAGGATACAACAAACAATTATGATCAGACATCGAAAGCTCTAGATAAAATCGAAGTTTCTGCACAATTATGAGAATTCTAGAAAGTTCTAGAAGTAATAGAAGGTGTATAGGAATGTGATAAGGCTGTTCTAGAAGTATTAGTCCAAGATGTCGACGAGTAATGAGTTGAGTGACTTGGAGACGCCGAAGCTTCGCATGAAGCCGGCTGTCAGTCGGATATTCTGCTGCAGTGTCACTGCTGCTTCTGGTTTTGTTGCGGCATATGCTTTGGTGAGTAAACCTTTTTAAGAAGCTACTGTATAATAATGGAAAAATTATCAAGTGCAGAGATTCTAAATTTTCAATCAATAGTGGACAAAAACGTCTTCATCTTTGTTTCATAACTAATTTTGATTCGCTTTAATAGCGTCGTCGTCGTTTTTATAACTTTGAATCTCAGACGAATTCAGCAACCAATACTTTCTTACCAATACCGAGGCCATGTGTTTTCATGGCCGCGGGAACGCGCCACCTCCGGGTGGGTCCCAAATAATGGCGGGAGGGGTTACCATCGGCGTCGAGACGGCGATGAAGTACCTGGGACTCGTCCTCGACAGTCGGTGGAACTTCGTGGAGCACTTCCGACGTTTGGCTCCAAAGTTGGCGAGGGCGGGGGCTGCGTTTAAACGCATCCTCCCCAACCTCGGGGGGCCAAACGCCTCCTGCCGGAGGTTATACGCCGGGGTCGTGCGGTCCATGGCCCTCTACGGCGCCCCTGTTTGGGCGCCTAACCTGTTGCGGCGTCCCGCTCGGACGCTGCTCATGGCACAGAGGGTCATGGCGATCCGAATGATCCGCGGATACCGCACGATCTCTGGGGAGTCGGCGAACCTCCTTGCCGGATTACCGCCGTGGGATCTGGAGGCGAAGGTGCTCGCGCGCGTGCACAGCATGCGCGCGGAGGCACGTCGCCGGGGCGAAACTCCGCTGCCGCGCCAGATAAGTGCGTGGCGGGATGAGCTCCGGCGCGATCTCATGGCGGAATGGCAGCAACGACTGTCGCAACCGAGGGCTGGGCTCGCTGCCATCGCAGCGGTAAGTCCCCTCTTTGAGGAGTGGCTTGAGAGACGCTACGGCGTCCTCACCTACCGCCTGACGCAGGTCCTCACCGGACATGGAAGTTTCGGGAGGTACCTGTGTCTGATGGGGCGGGAGGAAACGCCCGGGTGTCATCACTGCGAGGACCGCCCTGAGGACACGGTGGAACACACGGTGGGAGAATGCCCTTCGTGGGCTGAGCACCGCCGTGTCCTCAGGGAAGTGATCGGCGATGGCGACCTCTCGCGTCCGGGCCTAGTGCAGGCCATGATGCGGAGCGAGGGGGATTGGGATGCCGTCTCCTCCTTTTGCGAAGCAGTCATGCTAGCTAAGGAGGAGGCGGGACGCGTGAGGCAGCGAAGCGCTGCCTCCTCGCAACCCAGCCATCGCGAAGGACACACCGGGCGTCGGGGATCGCGGGACGATCTCCGGCCACCGTAAGCGCGGGCCTGCGGACGGCGAGCATGGGTGGCTCCCCGTCCGACCAGAAACAGACCCGAGCGTACGGCGCGTCGCGTTCCGCGCGCGCCTCAAAGAGCCATCAGACCACCACAGATGGGGCCCAATAGGGCCGATGCCGATTCGGAGTCGCGGAGAACCTAACGGGTAACCGGGGCTCCGGCTCGACGTGCAGGAGAAGGAACGGGGTGGTTTTTAGTCAGTAAGAGTCTGACACTCCCTCCCGCCTCACCCAGGCGGGGGCAGTCATTCGATGATTTTCCCCCCCTAAAAAAAAAAAAAAAAAAAAAAAAAAAATACTTTCTTAGTTTTAGTTCTAAGTACACATTTGGCTTGTTATCTTTTATAATGAAAATCTTTAATGACATTCACTAGCTTTAATTTTAGAGCAAGAACTGCTTGTCGCGAGGTGTTCCTCAGGGCGCTATCATTTATTAGTGAAAATAGTATAACTATTGTGTTCCTTTAGAGGTTTTTCATAGCCTTCACGTTTAATAACACATCACTGATGTAATCTTCTTATCATGCGGTTTCCGCTCAAAGGAACTGACGTGCGGTTATTAGTGAGTAAACTGCATGTAGATCTTACGATAATACATTTTAATTATAAGTGTACCTTAAGTGTGTTAATGGTTTTAAAGTTCATACTCGATTTTATAAGGCCAAAAAAGCAACTATCTCTTGGTGACATACGAAAATGTCATTTGGATCAAAATTGAATTTTGAAGTTCAGATAACTCGCTGTAGAGCTGCGGTTGACCGCACTGAATGTCAAAATTAAGGTCAGAAAACAATCCAAGAATACAAACCTCATAATATGAATTCCTTAATCTATCTCCATCTTGACATTGAAGAATTATTCGACAAACCACACGAAGACAACGACAAACCCGTTCGCTCGTTTAAAATTCACTAGACATCGCGCGAAGGAAGTATAGACCGAGAAGTCCATTTAAGTTTGAGCCTTCACCACGTCATGTAGGTCGGAGACGACGTGCGTTCGTATGCAAAGCTCGGTCTAGTTAGACTGGTTAGTTGTAAGGCCATGCAGTTATCTCGACGACGCAATAGTGAGAGTAAGCTTGCTTGGATCAAGACTAGTCTTATGTTGTGTCATTGTTGTGATGAATTTGAAAAGCTGTTACCTGGCAGTGCAGGAAATCATTTTTAAAACAGATAACTACATCAAAGCCAATGAAAGGATTAGGTAATAGTTTTTAAGAAACCTTTTTTAATCAAGTCAACTACATGGGCAGAAATTGTTAATATACCACTGTGATAATCTCTTCATTAAATGAATTGGAAAGATTTTTAAATAAAACCAAACGAGTTTTAATAAACCTTAATGACCGAGTGTTACATTTAACTATTTAAGTGATCTTAAACGTAGAGAATGTTTGTGTCGATTTTACGAGTAATTAGGTAGGTACTTATTATAAACCCGTTTATCATACCAAATTATAAAGTTATTGTAAGGAAAAAATGACCCTTCTCGTGCCAAACTCCAGCCAACTTTTTGTCCTGGTAAGCTTCTGCGAATCATTGACAAATCGGTAGGTAGTTACTTCTGAGCAAACTAGTTTCTTCACAGATTGATTATTCTTAGTGACTTTTTGTGAAACCTTCGACATCCGGTTTCTAATCAAATTCCATGTAGTAATGAATGCACTTTTTGTTAATGTTAAATGTAAGGAGATATGTGATACGATACAACTATTTACCAAATCGTCATTTTTATAATCTATTCTGATTCTATTGGTTTAACATGTAAGAACTAATTTGGGAGGTGGTAGTTCTTTACTACTACCTCAAATTACCTACCACCGGCAGATTCAGAAGTCAAGTATCTGTCTACTTACTTGCAACAAATATGAGGAAGACTGACTGCGACTGAGTCGATTGTGTCACACGGAACTAATTGTGAATGATCATTAGCCACAGATGGTAAGAGTAGGTTGATGTACGCACTGCCATTTACAGCTGTAGGACGTACCTCTTCCATAGTACATAATAAAATAAAGGTCGTTATATTTCTGTCTTTAGCCTTTAGTGTCGCAAGGGCTAGGCAAAAACCAAACTACGATACTATAATTTCGTGCTTATTTTGCTGCATCTTCCACTTTCTGGCATCTAATTTTACAAAGGTTTCTTATCTTTTAAGCCGACATTTTTTAAAAACTTCACGTAAAGATCTGGCATACAGTAAAACCCTGAGACTTGCCACCTGTATGACTTAGTTATAATTTTTGGAGTATGACTAAAAAGCTTTGAAACAGAATTTAAACTGTCAAACACCAAGCGGTCACCGGTGACCGCAACCAAATTGTTCTATAATTGTGTCTACAAAACCGGTACTCGACGAGTTAAAAGAATTTTTGAAAACAATCTGTACGTGTCTTACCCACCTAGTTATAATGATAACATTCACAAACGTGTAGCTGCGCTCACGCGTCGGACTATCAGCTAATCTCTCAAGCTTACAAACATTGGCTGGTTCCCATAAAGTTTCTCAGGCTGTCCGTGTCAGATTTTAGAATGTAGTAAATGAATTAAACGCCAGTCGTTCGCAGGATTTCCGGTGTCATGTCATGCCTCGTGGGGCTGCAATTACACCCACACGCACACCAAGTCGAATTAGCAGCTGCCCATTGAACGTTTCATTGCGATATCTTTAAGAAAAGTTAAATGAATATTAAACCTGATATAGCACAAATTTTGGAATATTAGAATAACCATTAAGTAAAGAGCAGTTCACTTATCAACGCGAAAACAAAGGAATCCTTGTGGATGTAGTAGAATCACTTTGTTAGATATCTATCTGTATCATTGTCCTGATTATCTATCTACATGTGGTCCTGTCTCTACATGTACTTCTTAAGATTTGTAGCCAGGTTTAAGACAAGCTTTTCTATATTATGTATCTTATTTTTCCTTGTGAAGCAACACATACCTATTTAGAAACAGTAACATGCTGCAATACGTCCCAACATCCTATGACGATCAACTTTACAATGACTAGAAATGTCCATAATGTTCCAGGTGGCATACGCGATCGCCTTGATATACGAGATAGTTTGGGTGGTGGAGTCCCAGAGCGGTCTGCCGCTGGCGTCCGCGCTGCTAATGGTCTGCTACTGCATCGTCATCGCTGCCACCGTCGTACTGGTGCATGGACTTATTTCTGTGAGTATTGTGATGATAATGTGACGAGAGTTAAAGAAATTTTCGTTTTAAAGTTAAAACAATTTAAAATACACTTTTCTTAGATTCTTCTTAAGCTTTAGATACTGGGATACTAATATTGGGATGCTCGTACCCTTTTTCACGATCGCGTGTGGAATAGCTTACAAGTAAACCACCGTGTAATCGACCGTCGTCATTGACCGATGACGGTAGCAGAGAATTTGCTAATTTTCATTTTCCATTTTCCCTGAGTATACTAACAACAACTGCGCTGTTGAGATTGGAATCTTTATTCATTGTAGGTACAGTATAGAAAAGGTGACAATTGTTAAAATTATGAACGTCTTTCCCTTGAATCACATCTTTTATCTTGTACATTTGAATAATGTTTATTTGTTTGTTTTATTTTTACAGAAAAACAACAGATGCCTGCTGGCGTGGTTGATAGCAGTCATACTAGTTCTCATACCGGAATGTGCTCTAGTCTTCTACATGTCTATAAGTCATTGGGTAAGTTTCCTCACCTATTGCGTACCTACTTAGTTAATCGAACAAGAAATAAACTTCCAAATTCCAATTTACCTAATCATCTGGAATTCAACAGTTTTATTACATTTTCGGATGATTATTAGTATTTTTTCTTGTTCTTTAGCCATCTTGAACCCCTAGGTTATCTTCTTCCTTTGAATATGAGTTGTAAAATATTCGTAATAAGGTATAATTTTCTTAAACCGTGTTTTTAACAACGCAATGCTATTTCTAGGGTCTACAAGGCGTATACGGTGGCGCAGAGTTGGCATGTTACGTGGCGCGACTGCCAGCCATCGTGTGTGGAGTCGTGCTCGTACAGTCAGCGTATGCACTTAGGGAAGCCAGGTGAGGCAACTTGTGACATTGTTGAACTAAAAAAAACTAATCTAGAGTAGAATAGCGTTAATTATTATTTTCGGCTTACTCACGTAATTTTTTAACGAGGAATCCTCCAGGAGGACGCGGTGGAAACTAGACGAGATCCTCGTCAAAAAATTACGTGAGTAAGCACAAAATATAATAATTAATTTAGTATGTCTCATGAAAGTTTTGATAGAATAGAGTTCTTTAAAATAAACTACTTCACCGACTTAATCTTTAGAGATGAACCCATCAAGCCCTAGCCCGATGTTACTGCCTCATTATATTTTACCGGAACTATCCTTGCCATCATCACGACCATCAGTTTGTATCTGCAACTATAGCACAGCTGGGTTAAGGCTTCTCTCAACCATATTAATTCAATAACTGATCAAACCAAGTTTGACGCCCCTGTTTATTTAACTAAATACATAAAGAACCCACATTACATCATTTGTCTTGAAAATTCCAGGAAAGCCGGTTACGGTGCAGGCGCAGCAGTAAGCGGGAGCGAGTTCGACGCGAGCCACTACGTGCCAGACGCGCCTAATGCTTTCACTAATGACGGCTTCCTGCAAGACAACGGTAATGCGGATCTAAATTCCAGCATAGATTATGGTATTAGATTAGAATGAATAGATGTTGTTATATATATTATTGCATGACGAAATTGTAGCAATCTGTTGATTTGATAAGAAATCTTATTACCATTGTACAAAGGAACATTTTTGTGATAAAACACTTAATTCGCAGGTAAATCTGGCTCAATGCCAGATCTCCGTCGTCATCTAGCAAGCCGCCAGTCAATGAACCTCGGCTACCCACCGCAGATGTTACCACAACCACCACCAGCGTACTGGCAACACCTTGCTGACAGACAATACGCTGCCAGTCTCCGGGGCTACCCCAAGTCCTACCAAGCTCCACAGATATATGGAACATGGGTTGGACCCAGGTCGGGTCCCTACGACAACCCCTACAAACGAAGACATTCCATAGTAGGAGCTTTCCAAACTGACGAATACCCACCAAAAGGTTACGATTACGAAGACAGAATGGATTGTAAGAGTGAGATAGCTTATCCCTATTATCGGTCTTACCCCTACGATCCGAGAGTTTACCCCCCTGATTATGACCCCAGATTTTACCCTGAATATAAAAGGGAGGATGCAGCGTATGGTGTCAATTTGCTAAGGCATGAACCGTATCATTTTAGTGGCTCAAGAGAAAGAGTGTTCTACAGTATGAGAAATAGTCACACGTCTGTGGGAAACGAGTCGGATGATTTGACTAAATATAAGGATGTTGCTTTGTAAAAATAAATTTTTATTAAGTACTTAAATCAGATTTTCATGTATGTGGAAATAAATGTAGACTACTAAGTATTAACGTTGATCTCGACTATTGATCAAGGCAATTGAGAAGTTGCAAGAATATTCGTCGAAATTGGGTCATCCGTTCGAGAACCGCGAGGCCATAGACAGAGAGACTTTATCGTCAGACTTAAAGATAGCTCCCCTTTTTGCGTCAGGCGTTAAAAGCTATCCGTCGCGTATTTAAAGAAAACATTTTTTTTAGGTTAATTGTCCAAAATCAGTTCATTCAACGATAATGTGATTGTTGTGGATCCTGAATTCATTGACAGGGTCTAATCATTGAGGTTTTGTATAGACTCTAAAGTTAGTTAAATAATCTCAGAGTTTAACATAGTGGCGGTGTGTACTATGTTAATTCTAAACCATTGAGATTTTGTCTATAGAAATTGTCATTAACCGAATTTGTATGTTTTTGAAGAAATGCAAAAGATTAATAGTAATAAGATTAACATAAGTAAACAATAAGAGATGATATATTTCGGGCCTCTTTCACGACTGCTGATTAAAAGAAAAAGAAAAAGGAGAGAAAAGGGGGTATTCCTTTTTAAAAGGCCGGCAACGCACCTGTGTCACCTTTGGTATTGCAGTTGTCCATGGGCGGCGCTGCTTGCTTACCACCAGGTGATCCATCTGATCGTATTCCATAAAAAAACTGTTAGCTTAATATTATTGCATATCAAATAGATGATACTGAGATAGTTATGTTAAAATTATCCATCAATAGTACTACTAATAGAATCTAACTGCCGTACTCAGTGACATTTGATTACTTAGGTAAACTATTCTTTAGCAACGATTTTGTTACGCAAACAATTACTAAGGACAGGGCCGTCTTCTCATGCATGAGGGTGCGGGTTCGAAACCTACCAACGGCAAGTACCAATGTGACTTTTTCCGACTTATATGTACTTTCTAAGATTATTTAGACACCACTGACAAACGGTGAAGGAAAAACATCGTGAGGAAACCTGGACTTATAATTTCTATTTATAAGTTTGAAATCGCCAACCCGCATTGAGCAAGCGTGGTGATTAACGCTCTAACCTTCTCCGAGTGAGAAGAGGCTTTGCTCAGCAGTGGGCATTTATAAGCTGTTGATGGATGGATGATGGATGGGCCGTCTTTAACTACGCTGGGGCCCTTTGGAACCCAATAATCCGGGACCCTTTTAGGCTTTTAGAATATTTTTGTTAACCCAGACCCGAAGCAACAATTTGTGAAGCACACAAAGATTTGTTCCGTGCAGGAAAAATTTGTTCTCTACAAAGTGTAGCGGGTATGTGTCCGTCATAGAAATTATCGGTCCTTCGGGGCCGCCTGACCGTGTGGTGGCCATGAGCACGGGCCCCGAGTAACCTTATGGTATAGGACTGGGTGAACCATTAAATGAGTACGGCTGTTCGTCAGATACTGTGACAGAGGCCCTTAAATTTGTACTTAGTTACTTATAAAATATTTTTATAAAATGTTATATATACTTAGAAGATGAATAATTATTGTACCTACTTAAGTAGATGTAGTTAGGTTAGTACTACTCTATAGCTAGTTAAGTTACCTAATTAACCAAAGGTATTATACAGTTCGTTTTAAGTAGATATAACTGTAACTTTAAGTATGTAAACCAAGATGAAATCAGTCACTACATTTTATAAAAATTCAATCAATAAATATAAATTGTATTAAAATTTGTAGTTTTTTTTTCGTTCCCGAAATTTAACTAAAACTTATTCCCTTGTAGCACCTGTAATGGTTACCAGTTCAATTCTTCCAGCGTTCAGTGTCGAATGAACAGAGGAACTACACATTACACAGAGATTGCCCATTAGCGCCCTCTGATAAACCTGGAACTTCATAAACTGTAATTTCTAGAAAATGTAATTGATTAGTTTCTTAGGTTTAAAATATTTTTTCAACTTTTCAATGCTTTAAATAATAAAAAATAATCATACTCACATCCATTGATTTGACAATTTACCTATTTTTGGATTTTTTTCTCGCTAATTTTAAGGAAATACGTATGCTATTTGACACAGAAATATGATGACGTCATAAGTTGCGATCCAATACAATAGGTACTTTTTTCGAAGTGTCAAATACGACAGTTTTCTATGAATTTTGTACGAGGTTGTGTATTGTGACGTCACGTTGTGGTACTTATTTCTTTAAATATTGCAGAAAAAATACTAAAATTAAATTGGTCATAAAATCAATTAATAAAAGTATGATTATTTTTTTAAATATTTTATTGTATTGAACAGTCGAAATAATTTATTTTTGACTAGGGAAAGTACCCAATTGAATGACAAGGGCACGGACACTAGTCCGTGGAGATTAACAGAAGTATTAAAAAAAACTTTGACCTCCAACCCTACCAAGCGTGATTATTAGTAAATACCCTTATTGAAAATGAGAGAGAACAGTTTGTATAGTAGTAGTAGTAGTAGAAATCTCGAGTTTAAGCCCTGAGAAGAGGAATAAGTACCTACTGTAGTACTGTTTTAGGTTTCTAGTGTCAGTTATAGTCTAAAGACTGAATACGTGTCTGATACAGTCTCAAAATACCACCTCTATCTACACTTTTCGGAAATAAAAGGCATTATGTTCATGTCTTTTCAAAATTATGCTGTATCATTAAAGTCCAGTTCTATCGACAGTGGCGTAGCGTGCCTTTGGTTAAAATTTATTTAGGGGTCCTTGAAGAGTAAACATTTCTGACAATGACAAGATATTTTTTTACATAAAATACTTATAATAATGTGTGAAAACCGAAGAAAATCTTTTCAGGCAACTCCTTTATTAGCGTTCTTTAGCGGATCTTTAATTACCTACTTTTATTTTCTTAAGTTTCTGCCAACCTTTGAACGCATGCTTTACGCGGGAAAAAAATGTTTTTTTTACTTTTGTGATTACTGAAATAGTATAAAAATTGGGAAATTTTATTAATTTTTACTTAGGCACGTTGGGGGCCCCCTGTAGTCCGGAGGCTCCGTATAATATATGATACGGCAGATACGGCGCTAGCTACGCCCCTGTCTATCGATAACGGTATTACCAGTCAATTTCCAAAATTAATCCTACGGCAATACTAATGTACCTATCTTGAAAATTCTTTTTCAGCAAAATACTCTGAGGCCTCGGGCGATGTACCTAGTCTATTTCAAGTCAACCTTTATCCTTTTCGAAAACATTGATAACTCATTCTGCTTAGTAAAAATATTTCGAAGATCAGTCATTCATAAAACAGGTAACATGATAAAAATAATGTAGTCCTACTCGATGTAGATTTATTATTTGAAACAGAAAAACAGATAATAATTCATTGACTAATTTCTGCATAATAAAACGTTTTAAAACTATAACAGATTTAGATGCCAACAGAAATAACTAAACGTTGTAAAAGATCAGTGTTGCTATAGTCAATGTTCGTAAGATACACTATTATTATTTACAGGTCAATATTTTACATTCATAACCTTACACCGGTCACCCGGTATAGGGCTAGGCAGAGACTATGAAACAGCAATTGCTACAATTCTTACTTATCTCTTTCGCTTCATCAACAGTCATCAGTCTTTTTATATGCATGCTCGGTGGTTAAAGGTATTTAACAGTGTTATAATGTCTGTAATAAGGTCTTAACTTTACCAAGATATATGTTTCCATTCCAAGTGATACAATAATATCGATCTAGTATCCTGTTCATAACAGAGCGAAAACAATAGGTAGATAAATTGTTTTATAAGAAGAGATTTTAATAATTTAACGAGAGACCACTCAAGTAAATGTAGGTACAGGCAAAAGTGAGTGACGCGGTGACAGCTATAACTAACATTGACTTAGACCGAATAACCAATCCACAAGTTGCTAATATCGTATTTTTATTACCATCTGTATCTGTATATTGAGAAGATCACATATTTATGTTATGAATACGAGTGCGTAATTTGACTATATTTAACTTATTTAAATGTTTAGTAGAAGTGCATAAAATTTGTGTAAAAATTTCAAATAATCAAAAAAATTTTTTTCTAATTACGTTCCTTAATGATATCTTGCAAATAATAATTTAACGTTTCTTCATATTAGATTTTCAACCACTAAAGGGTAAATTTAATTGATCTGGTATCATTATAAAGTGGTTTCCAGCTGTACGAAACAGATAACTTTGAATAAATGTCATGCAATATGAAACTTTATCACAGTGGACTAAGGTGCACCATATCTTGAAGTATCAAAGAGTACGTTTCAAATGACACTGTGTTGTCAAACAGGTTGGAAACAACGGGGCCGGCTTGCGTTGCGTATCGTGCTGTCTCTGTCTATCAGTCAAAAATTCAAGAGTTAAGTTGTCGACACGGCTAAAGTTTTAAAGTTTTTACGCTACTCCAAAAGTTAGTTTTTGCATATAATCTTGTGTTCTGAGTTAACTATGTATCATAATAAAGTGGATAAATGTTAATTTATCAATGTGAATGTTTGTTTTCGTGATGTATGAAGGCTGTGTAACTGTTTATTGTTTCATGTAGGTGGCTACCTACTATTGTAGTTGGGCCCAATGTGAAAGTGTTTTGGCATAAAATTCATATCCCATTGTTTTATCTTTCCGGGTATACGTTGGGAAAAACATTAATAAGTGTGACTTGCGTAAGACGTCGCTTAATATTGGTGAAATGTGTGTTATTACGGTGTTTAAACTTCGATTAATTACTGAATAACTATTTGGTAAGTTCGGACGTGACATTCTTTTAAAAACATTGTTTAAATACTATAAACATTTGACTTAATTATTCTGAGACCTACTTCAAGCAGTTTCATACGTGTTAATACTTTTAAAAAGGCGAACTCCAGTATTATTTTGTTGATATTTAGTAATGAGGCTGTATGGTCATGCCACCTCTTTTCAGTGTCATTAAACCTTGTCAATCAATTTATTATCTATGTTAAACCTTTGTTATCAGCTGGAATTTTGTATGTGGTCAGCTATACTTAATAAACTCGTTGAAAGTGGTACTTAATATCTCTTTGTTTCATTAAAAGTGACCACCTGTTGCATTAAAGTCTTTTCAAATTGGTAATATTAATTGAATAACAATAACAACAATTTTATAGAATTTCAAAATATATTAATTATAGCTAATAAGTCAAGCAATTTGTCTCATTTTGCCAGCGTACTGTGAATATAATTCAAATATTTTTTATTAAATGAGCACAAGTATACTCTGTTACTTAATTGAATCATAATTATAATAAGTATTATATCTATATTTTTTTAATTAATAGAAAGAATATAATAAAAGAAACTCTTGCATAATATGGTGCAAAGCAATTTAACATTCACCTGAAATACCTAATTTTAGACTTTGAAATAAAAAAAT